TCTGACTGCAGCTTAGGTCTGCTCCCCGCTGGCAAGTGGACATGCCCCGAGGGCTTCTGGGCTGCCAGAGGGATGTCTGATTGCCATCTTAGGCCCAATCCCCAGGGGAGCAGACCTAAGCCAGCAAGTGGGCCCCGAGGGGTCCCAGACTGTGAGAGGGCACAGGCTGGGCTGAGGGACCCCCTACCCTCCAGTGCACAAATTTTTGTGCACCGGGCCTCTAGTATATATATAAGCCTAAGTGACTGTCAGAGCATTCAACTGTCCTACTGGTAGCTATGATGCGCATTGACCACTAGAGGGAAGATGCTCTAACTGGTGGCTATAACACACACTGACCACCAGGGGGGAGATGCTCAATGCAGGAGCTGCCTACCTTCAGTGACTTGGCAGCTGCGGTTCTCAGGTGACACACTGGGAACCAGAGAGGAGGGAGCCCGATTCCTTGGTGTGTCACCTGAGAACCACCCACTGGTAATTCAGGACCCCTTGGGGGATATCGGAGAGCCGGTTTCAGCCCGATCACCACAGACCAGGCTGAGGGACCCCACCTGTGCATGAATTCATGCACTGGGGCTCTAGTCTGAAAATAAAATACCCAAGTCTACCATTACTTTATCTGAGACTCTGTACTAATCAGGTCCACTTGTGTGATCCTCCCCTTCTTAAACTACTATTCCACCTTGCCCACGCCTCTCTTACCATGGACTTTGCACGCTGTTCTAGTTATTGGATGGGTATCTGTCTTCTCTTCCAGATTTGAGTTTGTAGTGGACAGGGCTGTGCTTTACTAATCTGTGATCTTTTAAGAGTTGGTGTAAAATGACTGCTTAATACACATTTATGGAGTGATTCATCTAAAGGGGAGATAGGCACCTCAAAGTACTAAAGGATCAAAGCTGCCACTGAGGTTGGGAACCCGGATGTGGAAGTTAACAGTGTTGCTGGTGCTGGAGGGTAATTTGAGAAATCTACTCTGTCATACTCACATGGTGGGTTTCAGCGGAGTCTGTGGGGCAATAGTGCATCATTGAAACAAACAGGGAAGTTGGTTTTGTAGAGAAAAAGAAAGACTCCTTTTCAGATAGTCACATTCTGAGGTGACAGGGGAGAACCTAGGACCAATGTCATAGTCAACAGCCATCAAAGGGGTGCCTGAAGCAGCTGAGTGACCTGTTGCATAAAGGAAGCATGTGTGAGGGAGAATCAGAGCAGGTGGCTGGATGGAGGGCAGCTGATATCAGCATGGGGGTGGAAGTGCACCCAGGAGAGAAGGTAGCCATTGTGACAGAGACAGGAAGAGAAGCAGCAGTGCAAGTCAGGGCCACAGCAGGCTGCCCAGAAGCAGGGAGGGAAGGTCACGTGGTCATATATTGCTGCAGAGGATCCTAGGTGGACAGAGAATGGGGGTCAGATTTGGCTGTTAGAAGTCACTGGTCACATCAGTCCTTTTAGCCCCTGGGGCCAGGCTCGATGAGAGTGCCCCCAGTGGCCAGGACAGTGATACCAACAGAGAAGCTGGAGAGAGGAGAGAGGGGGAGTACTTACAGAAATGCACCGGAAGTCCTTCCTGCTTGTCTGTGCTGTCCACTCTCATTCAGTTGAAGTCTTTCAATGCGGTGGCAGAATTTAAAGAAGAAAGTGAACAGCAGGAGCTCCATGTCAGTTTGGACACATATCCTCATTTCATTGCAAGTGAAAATATTTTTCATAAAGTTTTCATCCTGAATCTCATAAAAACAGTGCAGCAAATCCCAAGAATGTGGGCCTGGCATGGGAAGGACTTGAGTCTTGGCCAAGTGCAGCAGAGAGCTATGCCTCTCCCGAGACAGGCTGCATTTGAAGATGCCCTCCATCTCTCGCATCCCCTGATCACTCAAAAGGCCAAAAAGGAAACATGTGGTTGGTTTCCCAAACAGGTCACCCCAGTCATATACATCTGTCAAGTCTGTTATAATTTTGTAGTTTCTAAGGCTACCACTTTTCAACTCTCTATCGCCTAAAGCATAGGACATTGCTGCAAAGAACTCCTGGAAGCACCGGTGAATGAAGCTGTAGCTCCGAGGGTTGGGATGCTTTTGAAGAACACCCATGTTTAAGAGAGTGGAGATGTTGGCCCCGTCTAACCCGTGTTTCCTAAAGTCCTCAGCGCTGAAAAGAGTCTTTTTTTGACAGGTGCCTTCAGTAGCCAGAGAGCAGAAGCCTCTCAACTTAGTCCCGAGGGACTGAGCCTGGAGAACATGGAAAAAGTAGTGCAGACAGAGGGCTGTGGTCGTCTGGGAGGTCAGTGAGAGTGGTTGCTCCTGCTCCATCTGCTGCTTCAGGCAAGTGCAGACCAGCCAGGACACCAAAGGCATGAGACACATGGTGAAGAGAGCCAGGTTGGATTCAACCGAGGTAAAGGCTCTAATCGCTTGGCTCTCATCTGTGAAATATTGGAAGAAATACTCCTTCCTGGCCGACTCAGAGAATCCCAGGACCTCCACCCAGCGAGGATGCTTTAATGAAGTTTTGAGCCTCCACAGAGCTGTGATCCGAGCTGTGATCAGCAGGGAAGCCGTGGGAAGTAAGGTTTTCTTCAGCAAACTGCCCAGCAGTGTGTGCACCTGCTGCTGCTGGCTCCAGTGTGGACAGAGCTCAGAACTCTGCTCCTTCAAGTCCCATTTTGGTTCATCTAAGTTATCAAGAATGAAGAGCAGCTGCTCTGGCTGAGACAGGATCTGCCCAATGGGAGCATCAGGAGCAGCCCAGTCTTTTGTGATGAGCTCAGCGAGACTCATGGTCTCGGACTGGGCCAGCTCTCTGCAGTCGAAGTAGAAGACATGCTTGAAGCGGTCCCTGAACAGCCAGCCTTCCTCCCAGGCTCTCCTCACCTGCCTGGCCAGGGTTGACTTCCCGATTCCAGCAACTCCATGCACCACGACAGTGGGAGGCTCCTCCTGGGTACTCAGGCCTGGGCCAAATAAATCTTCAATCTCCATCAAATGAATTTGTTCACCTACCACCTCATGATTCCTTCTCCTGAGCAGGAAGTCATAGCCTCTGGGTTGAAATCTGTGTAGAAGTAGCAGTTGTGTGAATTTTTGGTGCAAATACTCATTTCTCCATGACTGTGTGGGGCAGGAGCTCTCTCTCCTTTGATTCTGGTATTTTTCTTTGATTCCTACAGAAAGGAGAGAAAGATGGAATATTTGTTCAATTGTTTCTCCATTTATTCCACATTTGTTTTTCTGAACCCACTTGAAGCTACACACTGTGCTGGCTGCTGATATGGTACATTCTTGCCAGGCCAGTGGACAAAACAGGGTTTTGAGGAGAAGAAACCAGCTTGTTTTTTGTTTTTTAAAAATATATTTTATTGATTTTTTACAGAGAGCAAGGGAGAGGGATAGAGAATTAGAAACATCAATGAGAGAGAAACATTGATCAGCTGCCTCCTGCACACCCCCTACTGGGGATGTGCCCACAACCAAGGTATATGCCCTTGACCGGAATTGAATCTGGGACCCTTCAGTCCGCAGGCCAACGCTTTATCCACTGAGCCAAAACGGTTAGGGCATTGACTTGATCAAATCATTCTCATAGGGTGATGTTTCTTCATTCTGCAAATATCTAATCTAGGGCTTACACTGCGAGGCACTTATCTAGAGGCTGGGAATAAAGAGTGAATAAAGAGACACAATTGTCTGCTCTCACTAATTCCATGACCTGAGCTATTAGCCCCACTGAGCGTCAGTTTTTTCATTCATAATTTGTAAGTAGTTTTGGTCGAGTGAAGGATATAATGGATGGTGAAGCGGATACTATTGGTTCCTGAGAGTACCTCCTCCGCACCCACCCATTTAACGACATGGCAAGGATATTCTTCTACTTGCACCTGTGGTTTTCTGTCTGAGGACTCTCTCTCAGGCATTGGGTGTGACAGGCCAGAAGCCCTGGGGAACTAAAGCTCCAGGGGGAGCTCTCAACCAGTGATAGATGGCAGTACCCTGACCCCAGGAAAGATAGTACTGTCTCCTGAAGATCCCTAGTTCATTAAACCTCAGTTGCCCCACAATGCAGGTTTCATTGGTTTCTCCCCTTCCCTTCCCACTTCTCTCTCCTAATGGTACTTCCAGGGAACCAGTTCTTGAATAAGCCATCTGCTCTCCAATGTCAGCTTATGGGGGAAACCACGTGGACAGAGGAGAAAGTGGTTTATGAACTGTGAGGAGCTGAGCACATGTCAGAGACTGTGCCCCTGGGAGGAACCTCAAGGTCATATCTTTGAAATATTCCAAGTGGAATTACTGCTACATCCTTTTCCCTTCTTCCCTTCAGAATATTTTGAGTGACTTTCATCTCTCTTCATAGATGAATGTTTGAGATGATGCAAGTGACCCATCTGGAGTCCTGAAGCCCAGTTCATCTTGGGAATCCTGCTGGACCTCCAGAGTATGTGGGCCAATTTTCACCTGTAGCTTGGTGAGAATAGGGTATTAGGGGCCCACTCCCTCCTCTGGAATCATCATCTGAAGATCCACTTTTATTGTCTCCCGTGAGAACATTTCTGGCAAAGTGCAGATCTTCTAATGCATCAATATGGCCACTCTGTGTCATGGCGATGGCCCACCCCACTCTGAATCCTATGTCTGCCTGATGTGCCAAGAGAGGACTTAGGTCTTTTGGTGCCATGTTCTCCAAAATATCCTGGTTTTAATGGATCTCCTAGCATTCCACATATCTAAATTCTCTTGATTTAGTAAAACTTTCAAAATTCTACCCTTACCACCAATACTTCTATCAATATACATTTTAGCATTATGCCTTTGACCAGGGGTTGGCAAATTCTGGCCAAATCTAAGTGTTCACCTCTTGTACAACCTGTGACCTAAGAATGGTTGTTACATTTTTAAATGGTTGAAAAAGTCAAAGAAGAATTATATTTAATGACATGAAAATTATATAAAATGCAAGACATATGAAGAGATGTACATCCAGTTACATGAAACTCATAGGTCTTGGTACAGATTCAACTTTAAAAGGACTTTATTTATCACATTATATTGAAATTGTCAAAATGAAAGACAAAGAGAATATGAAAGGAGCAAGAGAATGACCGATCTCAGACAAGGTGACTCCCAAAAAGCTATGAACAAATTTCAGCAGAAACATCACTGTTCAGATAGAGTAGATGATATATTCAAAGTGCTGAGAGAAAAAACATCTGTCAACTAAGAATGAGCAAAGGTTCAGAAATGAAAGAGCTATAAAGGTATTCCTAGATAAACATAAGTTGAGGGAGTTCATTACCACTAGAACGGACTCACAAGAAATGCAGACAGGAGTTCTCCAAGCTAAAATAAAGGATGTTAATTGGTAACATGAAAATATATGAACGTATATATCTTACTGGTAAGGGTAAATATATCGTCAAATTCAGAATATGCTATACAGTAGTGATGGTGTATAAATAATTCTAGTAGAGTGATGAAAAGACAAAAGTATTGGCTAATGCTGTTGGAGTGGGTGGGCGTGGGGTTGTCAGACTGTAGTAAATCCTGGGAGCTGGTGAAGGGGAGCATGGAGGCACTGGTGCAGGATAGTATGATGACCTTGGAACGTCTTTGGGGTATGCAGTGGGTCATTGACTGATGATCAGGCATTTGATTTTAACTTTTAGCTTTGTAACAGCTTAAGGGACCACGTGAGAACATGTGTGGATTTGGCCCCTGTCACTGCAAACGGTTCAGAGTTTGTATGCTCCTTTTTACAAGTGATTTCCCAGATCACAGTGCTCTGCTGAGATTTGAGTGGGATTTGAGAATTTGGGGAACACCTGCAGCTTTGTAACTTCAGAGGTGTGATCAGTTAAAAAATTCACCTTTTGTGGAGTTGTGTTTTGTCAGTCATCTCTGCTAACTGAGCCCCAAGAAGGACTCCATGAAAGATGACAGAAGTCACTGTTATAGCAAAGTGTGTGTGTGTGTGTGTGTGTGTGTGTGTGTGTGTGTGTGTGGAGGGTGCTAAATTGCCCAAAATGACCAGAAACTTAATTAACATCAAAATGAATCAGCACATGTGGCTACTGAATGACTCCAAGATGTGGTGGCGGGTGAGGAGGTGGCCAACAGGACAGACCATGGTGCTGTCCATCTACATGGAGAGGAAGAATGGCCTGAAGAAGGGCTCCCTCATGAAGAATCTGAAGAATACACTGAGCCTTGGCAATACCAAGAGGAAGACCAGTATGTGGGACTCATCCCTGATACCCTACACCGATGCTGAGTACCCTGCCAAGGGGGAAGTTGCCAACCGTATCTATGACCTCAACATCCTGGACTTTGTCAAGTTTGCCTACATGACTGAGAGGTTAGGTGACCTGTCCCTTGTAAAGGGGTCATGTGTCACTGCCTTGGAGACATGCAGCAATGGCTGGTGATGTGGCAGCTACAACGGGCAGTTGGACCTGTTCCCTTTCAACAACATCCTGAGGAGGTAGGCAGCTGGCCACCAAGTTCCAAACTTACTCAGCTTGCTGAAGGGCTCATCCCCTGTGTCCTGCATGTGGTCCATAAAGTTTACCTTTTCAGCTTGGCCACCGAGAAGCTCAAGTTCGAGAAGGGAGAGACTGTGAAGGTCATAGAGAAGCCTGGGAATGACCAGGAGAGGTGGAAATGCAAAAATGCCTGGGGGCAGGCAGGCCTTGTCCACCCAACTATGTGGTGGTGCTCAGCCATGGGCCTGCCCTGTCCACATTGCATGCCCCATACATCAGCTACCCGGGGTAGGGGCAGCGGGTGCTTTGCAGACAGAGAGTGGTACTATGGCAACAACACACCACCAGGCCAGGTGCGTCCTCAATGAGGGGTGCTGGAGGCGACATCCTCATTGGGGAAGGCGAATCCTCGCCCAGTGACTTGTCATGTGTCTCTCATAGCACCAGGAAAGAACGAACATTACAAGTTGCAGCTTGTGAAGAGTGTCAACTGCATCACACAGCAGCAGTTTCCCACTATGGACACTACTAAAAGGCCCCCATCCTCACCGCGGGCATGGGGAGAAGCTGTACCTCATCAGAGCGCTTCAGTGATGTCCTCCCAGGGCCCTGCCATCTCCAGGCCTTGGTGCCACACTTACTTCCCCAGCGCTGATCTGGTGGCTCCAAGAAGACATGGTGGGTCACCTGCTCTCCTGTAGCTCCTGTTCTGTCCAGTGGATCCTCCCCTACTGGGGTCCTTTGCCTGGTTGATGTTTCTGTCCAGGTTCTTTATTTCTACCTGCCTCCCCTTTGCCATCCCAGCCCCTCATTCCAGGGTTCAAGGCCGCCCCTCCCTACTGTGGTCAGTTTTAGAGAATGAAAGATGGAAGAGGGCAAGTTTGTCCAGTTTATTCTTCTCAATTAGAAACAGCCATAGGGGGACAAACCAAGATGGCGGCATAGGTAAACACTGGAGATTGCTGCCTCGCACAACCACTTCAAAAAAACAACTAAAAGACAGAACGGACATCATCCAGAACCACAGGAAGGCTGGCTGAGTGGAAATTCTACAACTAGAAGGAAAGAGAAAAGCATACCGAGACTCGGAGGAGGCGCAGTGCGGAAGTAAAACACTGAGGTGCAGAGGTGCATATGGAGCGGGCTGGCGGCTGAGGGCGCGGTTGTCGTTTTCAATCGGGAGGGAGTCTCAGGCTCTGGGCTCCAGTTCCAGGCAAGTCTCTATGGACCCAGACTCATATGGGAGAAGCGGGACTGTCCGAGAGCAGCTTTCTCTCTGAGGGGCTTGCAGCGATTTCCCGGACACTGAGAAGCAGAGCCTCTGAGGGCAAGTCTGAGAGCAGCCATAGCTGCTAGCCCCGCCCTGTTGATCCTGTGGGACCTGCCCCGCCCAAGCTTGCAGGGAGGCTTTTGCTGGATAGCCGCAGGCAAAGGCTAGATTAGCACCTCCCTAGAGCTCCAGGAGCCAGGAAGCCCAGAGGTCAGAGTGGGACCATCCAGTTTGCAGCTCCCTAGAAACATAAAGGACACACTCAGGGGGCAGACTCAGTGAGCACCAAAGCCCCATTGAAGCAAGTCTTGCCCCAGAGGGGTCTCTCCAGCACAGAAGTTCTCCCACTGCAGACACAGCTGATTCTCACAGCCAATTGGCCTGGAGGTCAATTCCTCCCAGTGATAACTACAACAATCAAGGCTTAACTACAACAAGACTGTGCACAAAGCCCACAAGGGGCTACACCAAGAGTGTCCTCCTCAGGTAACTGGGGAGGCTGAACCACTGGGCCCTAGAGGACACTCAGCA